TCAAATATTTTCTCAGAAATTATTTGAATGGATAAAAATATCATTTTCAAATATTACTTTCGATGCAAATGAGAAAGAACAAATAGAATATACTATCAATTTGTTTTCTTTGTTGTAGCATTATTTATTATTGCCATTAGTAGAAGTTTCATAATTTTATGCAATATCACAAAATAATTTTATAAAAAATTTGTTTATTTAATAATTGTTTTTGATATTGTTTTTGATATAAAGTTATAGTTTAGTTTTTTCTTATATATAACTTTTAATCCTGTTATTCAAAATTATTTTATCCATGTTATTCTTTTTGATATTTCCATATCTTTCTCTTGATAGAAGATTAGCTAGATTAATTTTTAATGATATATAAAAACATATATATGTATATATATATTATTAAATGATGAAAAATATGTATATAAATAACATCGATAATGAATAGAAAAAATATATAAATTTGATTATTATTAAAAATTAAAATTATGTACTGAAACTGTATCATTGATTATTATATAAAAGTAGATCAATATAATTTTTCTATAAGCTTAAATGATATTATTGAAATAATAATAAAACCATTTGATTTCATAGATTTCTCTAAAATAACATAAAGGATAATAATGACACAGTCAAATAGTTATAGGATAACATGCAATTTATCTAAAATGAAATCTATTGCTGTTCATTATTTTGTTAATTAAAATAACATAACAAAACGAGACTTAACTGTTTTATAAAAAATATTTTGAGAAATATGATACGAATATTTTAAAAAAAATTCGATTTCAAATTAAAAAATAAAAATTTGCTTATAATTTTTAATATTAAGAAAATAATATTTTAATCCGAAAAAAATATATTAAAAAATTTTTTTCATGATTAAAAAAATGAAAAAAATATGATTTTTAATATAAAGTTTTTAATATAAAAATAGATTATAAACCTTACGTTTTAAATAAATACGAAATGAAAAAAATAATGACTTATATCTTTTCTCATGAACTATATTATGTGAATTATATTATATTTTAATTTAAATAAAATTAAAGACAATAAATCAACAAAAAAAGTAATCAATTTTGTTGGAAATGATCTTCACAATCACAATATTACAAAATACTTGCTGTTTCATTTTATTAATTTTATTTAACATATGCTTAGGAATAAATTCAAGACATCCTGTGGCAGGAAACATAGATGCTAGAATACAGAATATAGATCCACGAACTAGAATGCTTTTGCAAAGACCACAAGTAACTGCAACCATACCTCAACATTTTCAAGGAAACCAGACTTTACAAACACGTATGCCAGCTGTAAGAAATTCTATTACAGAACCTTATGATGTCTTACAACAACAAAGATTTCCAGGTATATGAAATTTGAAATTATATGATATTGTTCTATATACTTTAACAAATATTTTATTTATAGATCCCAATCAAGGACAAAATATAACTCAACGTATAGTACGAACACCTCAAGATAACTTAAATCAGGGAATTAGAATGTTAAATCAAGGAGTTAGTATAAGAGCTCCTTTGATACCAACAACGGTTAATGAAGCTACTGTTAGCCCTTCTGAATCATCAGAAATTCCTGATAATGTTACTGCAGAACTTGAAAAATTAGAGCAAGAAGGAGCACCAATGGTTGAGGTCGAGGGCGTAAGTGCAATATTGGGAGACTTAGGAGATGATGATGATGAACTGCTTGGTAAGTAAAACATATAATAACTTGGAATTTGTTTTATTTTAATTATATAAAATTTATAGTAATAATAATCAGGTTTTTTCAGGCTTTTTGTTTATTTCGAAGTTTATTTAATCAATTTCGTTAAACAAAAGTTAATCAATTTCTAATAAATTGCAATAATAAATATTAATACTTTTTAAAAAACTTTTTTTTCAATAAAAAATTATCTTATTTTTTTAAATAAAATTATGTATTTTTGATATTTATTTTAACTTGAATTATATTTAATATCAAAATAAGTGATATGATTTATACTCTATAATTAATTCATATATATTAATAATCATTTCATAAATCTGAATTAATTTTATTATTATTAATATATTATATATTATTAATATGTAAAAAGTTTGATATGATTTATGTTTAATTTATAATGCATGTACCATTAATGAATTACAATAGTAAAAAATTTTTCAATAAAAATTTTTTATTTGATATTTAATGCCTAGAAACAAAAGTCTAATATTATATTCATAATCAATTTTTTCTTTTATATTTTATTAAGAAAATTAACTTGGGAAGTTATTTTGCTAATACATAAATCAAATAACATAACAATTTATGTATTATATTGATGTAATTGTTTGAATATAACTTATTGATGTTTTCACTTTGATGTAAATAATGAATATACTAGATTAGATTCAAACTCTTGTACATTATAATTATTATTATTATATTGTACACAGTTATAAATCAAATATATAATTTAACATATAATTTAATACTTTTAAATATATACTGTATATATTATAATTTATTTACACTATAATTTAATACTTTTAAAATTTTATTTTTATAAGTTAATATTTTTATGTAATTATTCCAGATTTCTAAATTCAAAATCATAATGTAATAGATAAACTCTTGAGATTAATTATAATGTTATGAAGTCAAAAATGCATAATGTTTCAAGATCATTAAAATGACTTTAATTTGAATCGAAAAAGAAGTTTTTAAAAAATTTTATTTTTGTAATTTGTTGCAAAGTGAATTTTGTTTAAAACTAGAACTATTTCTTCACTAGATTAACGGAAAAATCATTATAATAAATATCCCTTACATATAAAGTTGAATATAAATTTTAATTCTTCTTTTGTTACAGCTGAAATGGGAGCAGATTTTAATATTTTGGAATATGCAGATCCCGAATTAGACAACATTACTGGTGGTGAGAAAACAAATATACTTGATTTAGATTTAGAACAAGTTGAAGTAGAGACAAAGGACGAAAAACAAAAGAAGGAAGTTAAGGATGAAGAGCGAAAATCAACAGAATTGAGTGTAACGAATGCGGTACACACTGACATAAGTGACACGTGTACGACAACTACAGTACAAACACCAACAGAGACATCTAATGCTCCAACACAAGCACAAACAGTAACACCTATTACTGCAACATCACAAACATCACAACAGTCATCTACAATTATGCCTCAATCACATGCTCAAGCAGTTGTTGTACAACAACAAATGCATCAGCATGTGCAGCAAGCTGCGGCAATGGGTAGACCAATGCCTCCAGGAACTCGCTTGCTTTCGCCTGATGGAGCAGTTGGTGTTGTTACATCAACTAACACTGTTACAGTCAGTTATCCATCTACATTTCCTGGACATCCTCAGAGAATACCACAAACACATATCCAAGGTATGTATATTAAAATATGCTCATAATTGCATGATTCTACAATATTCTAAATAACTTATCTTAAATACTGTTTTTAACTTAAATTTATTATTACAGTATCACAGCAACAACGTCTTGGTATGAGAGTAACAGGTGTACCAAATGTTGCTGGTAGAGTGGTTGCTGTAAATCATATGATTGGCCCTCGAATGCCTCTTGCACCACCACCACCACCACCACCACCTCCATATCCTGGACCACCACCCCCTTATCCCGGACCTATACAGGTTTGTATACGTTATACATATTCTTGATGTTCTGATGTTTTTGCATCGCTTTAATCTTGAGTATTTTTTATGCAATTATATCTAATAACACTTTCTTCTAACCACAAAAATACTAAATATCTCGCAATCAATAATGATCGCTTTTCGAAAAACATAACACAAATTACAAAATCAATCTTTAATTTTATAATAAAAATTAAATATCATAATCTTAATTTATTATATATTAGATTAATTTACTATTTACAATTATTTTTATGATTTTTACGATATATATATTCTTTATGATACATTTATTAATGTACTATATAATTCAATACAAATTAATATACGGTTACGCGGATATTGTATTTTTAATATCAGATAATTATTTTTAATTTTGTAATTTTATAGTTAATTTTATATTTTGAATTTTATCATAAGTATATAATATAAATTATCAAGTTTTGTTAAGTATAATAACAAATAAGAATAGGAAATCTCGAATTTGTCATGAATGTAGGATGTAGGCAAGTAATTTAATATAAAAGTATATAAAAGTATTGGCTGGTAAAATGGTGTTTTCGCCTGGGTGTTTGCAATGCATTGGTGTTGGTGCATGTCTAGATGGGGCTGTGTCCAGGTGGGCGGGGTATGACGCGGCCCCCAATCCATATAGGGCACCCAGTACCGGTGGCGGGTCCACCAATGGCCCCTGTGGTACATACTGGTACGCCCGCAATGACACCTCACCCTCACCGAAGACCCTTGCTTCTGCAGGTGAGCAAGACTTGGGGACTTTTCAGCATTCAGCATAATATCACCTGCAATGATATTAAAATTCAAAATTTTATTATATAAATTATTTTTAGTATTTTTGCACCATTTTTTTCATTTTGTTGCTGATAAAAATAATATTATTTTTTAAAGAATAAACATCAGATCATATTAATATCTAAAATAAATTTCTATCATATATAATATTGAAGATTAAAATAGAAATTTTTTTATTATTAATGCTATTTTTCTATTTTATTTTTTGATGTAGATATTAATATTTTAAAAATATATATCTTTTATAATCTATATATTTATTAAAAATATTTCTTTCTACATTACTAAAATTATAATATAAAATTATAATATAATATATATATTGTAATATAATATTATTTTTATTATCTAATTTTTATTATTAAATAATTTATTAATAATATTTTGTTCTTTATATATTGTATTAATAATAATATAAATTTATATCACACTAGAAATAAAATAATTTAAAAAATAAGAATACATAATTTTTGTTTCTAAAATAAAATTTATAATAGATTTTTTGCACAATTATTATATAATATATACTGTTAATAAAAAATGTTGCATTTTTATGTGTGCATGTATGTTTTAAATAGAAAATACTAGGCTTCAAAGATTGTGTATTAATTTGCTTCATTATAGTTACAAATTTATGTTCATATTTTATATAAACATCATTTTATCTAAATATTTGTTAATAATTGCTAAGAATAAAATATTTGCATGTTTGTATTATTTTTTTATTTGTTGGGATAATTAGTATGTCTTGTTTCAATATATAATTAATAATATATAAAATATATAAAATATTATGATATAGAAATTTAGTATATATATAATTACTTATCACTTTTTAATCCTTTCATTAAAACACAAATTTTTCCATAATATTTCATAAATTGGTTGGAGATTCGATAAGCTGTCAGTAGTGGTGTTTGCAGGAACAACCATTATTATTGGAAGAATTATTGGAACAAGAAAAACGAGAACAAGAAAACAAGCAGCAGCAACAACAACAACAACAGCAGCAGCAGCAGCAGCAACAGCAGCAGCAACAACAACAACAAAGTGACACTACAACTCCTGGAGGACCCCTTCTAAGTGACAGTGAGTTTGAACAATTTAATGCAGATGTTTTGGGTTCTGCACCCCTTGCTTCTCCTCCACAAGGAATTACATCAGTACCTGGAGGAGTTCCTGTAATTAGGCCATCTTGTACATCAAGCCCACCATCCGCTCCAGGTACCAATTGGCAGCAAGCAGTACCGGATGCGACGAAACTAACAGCTCAGGTGCCTAGACAACCAATTGCAACTCAAACACCACCAGAACGTTAGTATCGTGAACACTTTATATGAAATATATTGTACACATTAGTGTGATTAATGATTTAATAATATAAAATAAAATTAAAATTTTTTTATAGCAAGGGTTGCCACATTTAATATCTCCCAGATTCCTGCCCCGCCTACCCCTCCGGAGAATATTGTGAATGAACAGGATCGTCAAATACAACTGCAGTACGAGCAATGGCTAAATCATCAGCATCAAGTGTTGACACAGCAGTTGAAGTATTACGAAACTGAGGTACAAAAGCTGCGTAAAATACGAAAAGTAAGGATAGAATGTTTTTATGTTGCGGCGTTTTCGTTTTTCTGACATTTTAAAACATACAGACATGTTACAGTTAAATTATTCTGATTTTACAGTCTCTCAATAGCAAACAACGACAGTTACGAAAATCCGGCAACGAATTGGCAGAAAATGATGCGGCTGAATTACAACGTATTTCCAGTGAGCAAGCAATATTGCAAAAACAGCTAGATGCAAGTCGTAAACAAACTCGTCAACATGGCATGCTAATACAAGAATATCAGAGTAAACAGCAACAAAGACAACCTCAGCAACAAAACAGCGAACCATGTTCACCGCTGATGTCGCCTTCTCAACATTCACCGATGCATAGTCCTGCTGCACTTGTTTCACAAAGTCCAGGCCCTGGAAACGTTCCAACAAATATAATACAACATTCACCGGCAACTCCTATCATTCAACATAGTCCTAATACACCTTTATTACAACACAGTCCTGGTAATCCGCAATCAGGAAATCCAGGAACAATATCACCTCATAACATGCAACAGTCACCTAGAATTGGCACTCCACACTCTCAAAACGAAGAAAGTCCTTTTAGTCCTGGTGCCATGCCTTCACCAGGAATATGTGGTCCTTCAGCGGCTCGAATGACGTCTCCACAGCATCGTGCGATTATTAGTGGAAGACTTGCAACTAGTCCAGGTGCTTTTACTCCAGATACACGAAATACACAACAAATTATCGGAGATCAAGGAGTTAGAGTCCATAGTCTCACTCAACGTTTTGTCCGTCCACCTGCTGTAGTAGAACCTGGACAAAGGCCCAAAATGCAGTTGCAAGGAGGGATCGTATACGGACAACGTTCCCCGCTTGGAAGTCCACAACCTAATCAACAATCATTAATGAATCAACAGCATCAACAGATGCTTCAGAGACAACAGATCTCACATCAAATTCAACAACAGCACGATACTACAATTCTTCAAGATGGACAAAATGCAATGACTCAGCGTACGTTGCAAATGGCACAACAAAGACAACAGTTGTTACAACAACAGCAACAGCAACAAATAGTTCAACAACAGAGACAACAATTTTTGCAAATGCAACAACAACAACAACAGCAGCAGCAGCAGCAACAACATATGCAAAAACCTCCAAGTTCTCCAATGGTAGCTCAACCTGCCAATTCTCCAAGTCCGCAACTTCATCAACAAATGCAACAGAATTATGGACAACCTCCAAGTTCTCCTATGCCTCGTAGTCCTATGGTTCAACAAACCATGGGATCACCTATGTTGCAACAACAGTTAAATCAAACTTCGCAACCTCCCAGTCCTATGAATACTAGAATTCATCCTCATCCACCGAATTCACCAATGATATCACAATATCAACCACCAAGTCCGATGTCACGTAACCATCCTTCGACATCTCCTATGCTTCAACATCAATTAAACAACACACATCATCCTCCAACATCGCAACCACCTAGCTCTCCTATGCCACGTAGCCCAATGGTTGGAGGTTCACCTATGCAAATGCAAAGAAGACAATCTACTGGAAATAGTCCAGCAATGCCAGATCGACCACAAAGTGTAGAAAATCCAGGAACACCAAGAACACCACATACACCTCATACGCCACATACATCGCATGGTTCTTATACAAGTCAAACTTCAAATAATCATGCAGTACCAAATGATCAACAACAACAATTGCAACAATCACATCAACATCAACAACAATCTATTACGCAGGAACAACCAACTACAACAGATCACACAAATAGAGGTGGAGGAAATCCTCATAATCCACTAAATCCGTTGCCCTTCGGGCGATTTGGATATATTAAGCTTGGATTAAGAGGCGGTTCTCCTATGTGGTCTACAAAAGCAGAGACTAGCAAAGGAAAAACTTCTGAATCGCATCTTTTAAACATGGATGAAAAACCAAACACATCTGTAGTTGTTCATAGAAAAACTGGTATACCGCAGTCAAAAATTAATTCTTTAGTATGTGCAGATTATAATGATTTCGATGATGACTCGCATACGCCACCTCAAACTCCACCAACAAGTTTAGAAATCAAACAAACCACTTCATTATCTGATAATGGGCCTTTAACATTGGGTAGTCCAAGTAACAAAATGGAACCCATACCTGACACTACTGATTATGACGATGATAAAACTATTGTGAATACAGAAGTGACTCTAAGTTCGACAGCTCAACGAGATAGTGATGATATTACTGTTATAGATCAGTTTGGAGATTCCGAATTGGTCGATGTGATATCAGGAACACTGGAAGGTGACATGCAAGAGGAATATGTACTTTTCGAACCTGGAATGGTTGTAGACTTATCAGCAGATAGTAATGATTCGCTTTGTCATGCATTGGTTAATGAGAGTAGTCAAGGACACGACTTAGTGCAAATATTACAAATAGAAAATCCTGAATCTCAGACAGATGAACCAATGTTAAGCGATGAAGATTTGGTACCTTCCCATACAAGAAATAAAAAGGGTTTAAGATTAGACATAGTAAGGACATTACAATCAGGAAAAAGACTTGTAGCTGTAACAGATACTCCGGAATCTCCCGATCAAGAAGAACTTCGCGTAAATCCATCGCCAGGATCTTATATGGATCAATCACCTGAGCAAGATCTCATGGTGTCTTTTGTTAGCGCATCTGAAGTAGTAATTATTGATCCTAGTACAAAATCACCTGAAGATAATTTATCCAAAGAATCATGCACAGAAGAAGTAGAAAAAACAGATACAATTAATGTTTCCGAATCATCAAAAGAAAATACTATCACGGAAAATGCTACTGAAGATCAATCAAAATCACAAAAAGAATTAAAGTCAAATAGAAGTCCTACATCATTTTTGTTCTCAGATAAAGTTCTTTACAATCAAATTTCACCATCAAATATTCATCATGCTAACATTAATGTATCATCTACATGTAGATCTACAGTTTCTTTGTCACCCTGTGTAAATACAACTAACAATACAAATGCTATTACTACTTCTACCAATGTATTGATAGTGAGTGATACAACTATTAAGTCAACTCCAATTTTTACAACTTTAAGCATAACGAAAGAAACGGTATCTTCTTCTTTTAATAATCAAAAACAATTACCATCAACAATGGCAAGTATAGTGGCTGATGCCAAAATTGCTGCTAAACTCAGTCAAACAGCTTTGGAAAACATTATAGTTAGTTCACAGCAAAATATTACAAAGATAGAATCATTATCCAAAATTACTTCATCAAATACAGAAATTTCTAGACCTCAAGTTACAGAAAAAACCATAACATCAGTATCTAATTTACAGAATGAATTCACTAGTTTCGTACAAAGTACTGCTACAAGTACAATGGAAATATTAAATAATCCTACAAAATTAGTATTAAGTGTGCAACCAACATCTGTTACGTTATCAACACCCAAAATGTCTATACTTGATCTTCCTAAAAAAGAAAGTGAAAATAATTCTGTTACGATAATAAAAGAAAATCAACTAGAAATTTTAGATAAAAATGTGAAAATTAAAAACGAAAAAGATGAACCTGATCATTCAGCAAAAAATTCAGAGGAATCAAATGTAAATACTTTAAATGTTAGTGTAACTGCAAGTATAGCTGTGAATCAAGAATTGACTTCATCTGATGATAAGAAAAATGATCCTTTGAATACTACTGATGAATTAGAAAGTATGCTTGAAGCAATTCACAACCCTGCTGAAAACACTATAAATAGAGAAAATTCTCACTCAGAGAACAAGACAGACACTGCTTCTTCATTGAAAAGGATATTTCCAGTTACAGATGATTTATCATTGGTAAATATTTTAGAAAATGATTCGGAATCAATTGAAAATGAAAATAAAGAAGAAAATGTAACTTCTGAACCTCAAAGAATGAATATTAAATCAAAAGAAATTGAAACTAACATTGTAGAAAATACTAATTTAAGTACTTCTCAAAAAGAAAAAAAACACAATGAATTGTGTACAGAAATTGAAACTAATAAATCTTACATACAGCATTGCCTCAACGAAGAAAAGAGTATAATGGAAGAATCATCTGATGATATATTAGATATGTTACATAATATCATATCCTCTAAACCAGAAATGGCTAACAGCGAAATACTTCAAGAAGATAGATCCAGAAAATCAAGTATGATGTATGAATTACCAACACCTTTAGATACTTTGCCTCTAAATATTCTTCAAGATTCTTTAATGGATCTAGATCAAGAACATTCAGATAATGAACATCTCTTATCAAATGAAAAAGAACCAAAAATACGATCAGCCAATTCACCTCCTGTAGAATCTGTCCCTAAGAAAAGCTCGCCAATCCCACATCAAAGTACTCCTTTAGTGGTGAGTACTATAGCACAGTTGCAGAAATGCACGACTACAGTGCCTCATCTCTCTCCTCTATCAAAACCGACAGAATTAACATCCAATGTTGCAAATGTATCACATCAGTTGAGAACATTACTCTCTTCTTTACAAACAAATCATTCAAATTGTACAACTATAAATCAAACCGCCATCGTCACTATGGTGTCCTCAGCGATCTCAGGATCAAAAGTAGGGAACATATTGTCTACAACCAGTACATCTTCACCAAACTCTGTAAATAATATTCATAATAGTACAAACGTACGACTACAGACATCTATCACTACATCTCATTCTACAATTACAAGCAAACCTGAATTAGAAAATACGACAACCAGTTATATCCCACATACAAAAGAAAGTACAAATTCTACAGTAAGCGTTGTTTCTACTTTAACTAAGGTTACACCTTCAGAATCATTTTTACGAGTCACTTCTAGCGGAGTAGTACAGTCGCAAGCTAGTAGTAATCTGTCCCTACAAACATCATCTGTGATCACTCCCAGGCCACCAACAAATTCAGGTATCTCAATTACATCAAATGCAATGCTAAATGCAATGTTGTCTGGTACAAATTCGGCAAAATCTTCAATTGCTGGTCTCCGAACGAATACTGCTCCTACACAAGCTGGTAATTTATTGAGCTCAGTAGTGGCGACTTCTGTACAACGTACACAAAGTTTACAAGCTATTCTACAAGTAAGTTCAAGCTGTTCTTCGGCACCTTCTCGCGTGGTTGTAAATTCCACATCGACAACAGCCACAACATCCATGCAATGTGTCAGAACCATTGTACCTCCAATAGTGACTGCAAGCACCAACAGCATTAGTGTTACTACTAGCATACTTCAATCTACTTTGTCTCAAACACCAACTCTTTTACATTCTCAGCTTACTTCTGGTCAAGGTCAATATAAATCAACCAGTCATTTACCGTTAGACAATAAAAGTGTTGATCTTGAGAGACTGGCGCAGAGCACACCATCTAAAAAGGAGTCAGAAGAATCTAACTGCAAATCTCAATCAATACTAGAAAAACCATCAACAACTAGATCTGAGTTGGAAATGAATAAAAACTCTACTCATAGAATGGAGGAATCGCAAAATGTATTATTGAAACAATTGCTCCAAAATACTGCATGTGCAACAACTACGTTGTGCTCTGGTTCTTCACAAGGTCCTAGTTTGCCATTAGTACCATCTTTAGAAGCACAGTTAGCAAGACCAGTTCCTCCCACTCCTTTCTCTGTTTTACCACCTTTATTGAATGAAGTACCAGCACCTAAGACTACTAGTAATAAGCAAGTTTTAAACAGAGAGACATCATTCTTATCTCAATCAGTAATACCTTTGAAAGTGCAAAGTCCACCAACCAAAGAAGAACCACCGAAACCACCACCGCCATTAACAACTTCTGCACCAGTTTTATCTCAGCAACTTATGGCTGATTCGTTTTCAAAACAACAAATAACTACACAGTCTACAAAAACCACTCCTGTTTTAACTCAAACAAACCAACAGTCAACGATAACAATGACCAAGCAAGTTCCGCTTACGACGAAAACTTTAGAAACTACAACTTCTATAAAGCAAGAATCAACTACTATTAGCCAGTCACCTGCGAAGTCTGTGGGTGATGCCGTTATTAGTAATACCGTTCCAATCCAAAAACAATGTGTATCAACTCCCATAACTGTGTCACGAGTAGTATCACAAACGAAACCAGTAATTACAACTGTGACAAGTAAAAGTATTCAATCCACGACACAAGTATCTAGTACTGTCCAAGTGACACAACAATCATTAACAACTATTACAACCGTGCAGCCACCATCATCACAACAAACGCAAGCACAGACTCAACCTCAAATACCAGTTACCCCAAAATCCATTATTTCGACTCAGCAACAACCCCCTCATGTAAACACAATACCGCCATCAGTGCCTCATACAGTGTCTCACACAGTGGGTCACCAAGCCCAGGCGTCACAGGGTGCAAATGCACAACACACAGTGCCTTTAGTGGAAGTCAAAAAGGAAGTACTTGATGAAGTTCTATCTAGTGGTACACCTACCCAATTAACCGATACCAAAGACTTTGTTACTGCCAAAGAGGAGCTTATTGATGGATCGATTGATGATAAAACTGGTATGTAATATGTAAATATATAAATAATATATAAATACATAAATAAAATAATTTAAATATAAATATAAATTAAAAATTTAAAACTTGTACAATATTCATATTATATGTAAATATAGATGTTAATTATTATTATAATATATACTTATTTTTATAAGTTTCACGAATTTAATTTTTTATTTCTGATAATTTTCTATATAAAATATATCTAAAAAAAAATTTTAAACATATTAATTAAATATTTAATTAATGTTAAAATAATAAATATATCATTATTATTTGTATAAAAATAAAAATATAGTTTGCTAATTTTATTTTTGTAGATCTCAAGAAGATGAAAAGGCGACAGTATCAACAGAAACGGAAGCAAAGCCAGGGAAAGGACGCGACGGCAGCAACTCAAAAAAAGCGTGCTAGGAAAGTATCCCGTTTAGACGAGGATTATGACACGTTCATTGACAATTTAATGGCACAATTGCGACAGCTTCAGCCAATGGCAGTATTAGAACCACTCCTAGGTAGAAATTATGGCGTTTGTCCTATCTTTGGCTCGGGAGACCTGTCGAAAATCAGCAGTCAGAAAGATTATAATACCAGGACAGGTGATTTAATCGGTTCATATGGATCTGCTACATTACCAGGTGTATCTGATCATTATAATACTCAACCGTTTGGTGAATTGGAACCCTTACCACCTCAACAACCCGCTTCTACTCAAAGAGGATTTTATGATCAAGAATTTCCACCTCTTAAATTGGATGATTGTAAGTATTTCTATTTAAAAAAATGGACTTGGAAAATGCTTTAATTTATTAAGTAGATATTGAAATAAACTCAAAAGCTGTTAATAACAATAATATTTTCTTTATGACTATATAAATTTGACATATAAAATTAATTATAAACATTATAGACTTTAATGAAGTAAATAGATAATATAAAGAAAAGGTTTTTTATAAATTCATTTCAAATTATTGTAGTTTGTTCATTGTATTGTAGTTCAAATTATTATAGTTAGTCAATTTTAATATAAAAATTATTAATATTTAATATTTACTATAATAGTTAGTTAATATATAGTAGTTAGTTTTAATATTTAATATAATATACTTAAAACAAACAAAAAAATAAATGAATGAATCCATTTTTAATCTAAGTCCATTTTTTCTTCAGTTTCTATTATAATTTATCTTATTTCTTGTAGATAGAAATTTAATAGTAATATAAATATTAAATTTTTAGCCGACGATAAAAAAGAGAATTCCTTATCAATGAATCGCGATGTGGATTCCCCTGATACAATAGTCAGTTCATCTTCACCAGAATGCGTTATTCCCGAATTTATACATCGATTTCCTGGTTTAAGATTGATTGAAGAAGAATCGGATGAGGAATCAGATTGGCTGAAAAGAGTATCACCTGTAATACCTTTAATATCACCGATACCAATTAGATTAAAACCAACTTATATCGGTAAAGATATCGCCAAACAGGATAAAGAAAATTTAGGAATACCACGGTATGAAAAAAAATTTTTTTTCATATATATATACATTTTATGGAAATTGAAAATATTTAATAATATTAATAATAATTTAAGTAGACTTGGAAAATCACCTCCAATACCTTTAAGAGATGGCAACGTAACAGTTACATTAACATTGAATAGTCAGGCTGCAGATGACATAATGGGAGTACTTAAAGATTTGGCTAATATTTTAAATATAGCTCCTCCTACTGGTTACCAGATAGTAGAACGTACTACTACTCCCCCTAGTCAAAAATTAGGTCTTTATAGAATCAAGGGAAAAGATGGTAAAGAGGGAGGTGTGTATCTTTATCCCATAAAAATAACTAAGAAAGGTTTTTATTTATTTATTTACTTTTTTATAACAAATGAGTGAAAGATATTATAATATACGTCTAAATTTTCAGCTCCTATTGATATACAAAGTATTTTAAATGGCGCCGCGAAATTCTGTCGTCATTGTGATGTTGTGATATTGAATAGCTTGATAAGAAAGAAAGTATCTGATTTACCATTTTTAAGCAAAGAAGAGGCTGAACCCGGCGATGAGTTATGTTTTTGTTCAGCAGCCTGTTATATGCAATTTGCTCTCATGCATAGAACACCTTTGAATACACAAGATAAGGTAATCATATTATATATTATGTAATATAAAATATTTTATATTTAATATATTCGTTGGATATCTTGGAAAATTGATTCTAGAGACCGAAATAAATACAAAAATATATAATAAATATATAATAAAAATACGAAAATATGTTAATTATTTATTATATTATAAATTATTATTATATATATTATAAGTTAGTGTTAGTTAAAATGAAATAGAATGAAGTAACAATATGAAGATAGTTATTTTCTACTCTATTTTATTTTTTTTTATTTTATTTAATTCAAATTTAAATTGCTTAAATAAATAAATTTTAAGCAAAGTTTTGTATAATTTTATATAAATCATTTAACATATTTTTTTTTATTAGGCTGCAACAATAGTAGACCATCTATGTCATAACAAGATAGATACTAAGGTATTGGATGACGATTTCAAAAAAGGAAAAAAATATGTAATCAAACAACCGGTTGATCATATTGAAAGTATGGAAGTCGATCAAACAGAAAAGGAAACAGAAATTAAGATAAAAACGGAAAAAGAAGAACATGATATTTTTGAGGCAAAAGAAGAAATTACAGAAGAAAAACGAGCAAAAAAACATTCAGTCGCAGAAGAGTCTCTAACTGAGTCGACCGAACCACAACCACCTGCGAAAGTATGGAGAGGTTTACGGTATAAGACGTGGTCTGTTGGCTTAATGCAACCTACAACAAAATACAAAAAACCAACAGATAAAGAAATCACGGAGGTATGAATAAAAATACTTATAAATTATATTTAAAATTATACTAAATATATATAATATTTAAATAGATTTAATATAATATTAATATTTAAAGATTTATAATATAAAATAAAAAATATATTTATAAAATCTTTTTATAGATGCTTTTCCGTATGGGAGTAACTGTAGTACCTGCCAAGGCGGAAGATAGTCGACGATGTATGTTTTGTCACAGTCAAGGTGATGGTACAGCCGATGGTCCTGCTAGATTACTTAATTTTGACGTCGACAAATGGGTGCATTTAAATTGTGCCCTTTGGTCGGAAAATGTATATGAAACTGTAAATGGTGCCTTGATGAATCTCGATACTGCTTTGCAACATAGTCTTGTATTAAATTGTATTGTTTGTGAGAAACCAGGAGCTACTGTAAAATGTTTTAAAATGCGCTGTACCAATGTGTACCACCTTGGCTGCGCTGTTAAAGATGGCTGTGTTTTTTATAAAAATAAGGTAAAGATCAACATAAAAATATATATTAAATACCAAGTTCAAAGAATATTTAATGCATTTATTATAAATGTATTATTTTATTTTAGAGTACCTATTGCTCTCAACATGTACAAAAAAACGAAAAAGATAACGAATTAACTACACTTTCTGTCTATAGAAGAGTGTATGTCAATCGTGACGAGAATAGACAAGTTGCAGCTGTGATGCATCATTCGGAACATAACCATCTGCTTAGAGTCGGAAGTCTGATATTTTTAAGTGTTGGACAGCTGCTTCCACATCAGCTCGCCAATTTTCACACACCAAATTATATATATCCAGTTGGATACAAAATTGTTAGATTTTATTGGAGTATGAGACGGCCAAACAAACGCTGCCGATATGTGTGTTCTATCCATGACGTTTCTGGTCGACCCGAATTTCGTGTTCTAGTACAAGAACCTTTACAAGAAGATGTTGAATTACGTGACGCCACTCCTCGCGCTGTCTGGAGCAGAATCCTTGAACCTCTTGCCGAGTTACGAAGATCGACGCACAGTGTCCAGCTATTTCCACGTTATGTTTCTGGCGAAGATTTATTCGGTCTTACTGAACCAGCGGTCGTTCGTGTTCTCGAAAGTCTTCCAGGCATTGAAACTTTAACCGATTACAGATTTAAATACGGCCGAAATCCTTTATTAGAATTACCGTTAGCGATCAATCCTACTGGCAGCGCGAGAACGGAAGCTCGTTTACGAAATCAACTTCCTTGGAAAAGGCCACACACACAGCGCACAGGTTCTTCAGCTCGAGCAGCCTTCGTTCCAACTGCAACTGTTGCTGGAGAAGTGGCATGCCCTTATTCAAAACAATTTGTTCATTCTAAAAGTTCTCAGTACAAAAAAATGAAGCAAGAGTGGCGGAACAACGTATATTTAGCACGATCTAAGATCCAAGGTTTGGGATTGTATGCTGCACGTGATTTGGAGAAACATACAATGGTCATTGAATACATTGGAGAAATTATTCGTACTGAATTGGCCGAGACGAGAGAAAAGCAGTATGAAGCAAGGGTATGTTTTTATTGTTTTATTATTATATTATTTTATTGTATATTATCTTATTTACAAATTTATTTTAAGTTGAAAAATTATATTTATAAATAATTTAAAGTAGCAATTTATAGTTAGTTAAAAGTTATCTTTAATAATTAAATTGTTTTTTTCAATATTATATATTCTATTTTTCTATTGTATGTATATTCAATTTTGTATGTGTTTACGGTATTATAATAGTAATTTAATCTTAATAATAGAAATAAATTTTAAAAATATATTTATTACAGAATCGTGGTATTTATATGTTTCGTTTGGATGAAGAAAGAGTGGTCGATGCAACATTGTGTGGAGGTCTCGCAAGATATATCAATCACTCTTGTAACCCGAATTGTGTCGCTGAAATTGTTGAGGTCGAACGTGATCTTAGAATCATAATCTTTGCAAAACGAAGAATCTCACGTGGCGAGGAGGTACATCTTTTTTTTATTTAACATATTATTTATATATAATTGATATTAAATAATTTATATTATTGTTCTTTGTAGCTGGCATATGATTACAAATTCGATATTGAAGATGACCAGCACAAGATAGCATGCGCATGTGGCGCGCCTAACTGCCGCAAGTGGATGAACTAAAGCTCGATCCACCGTTGTTATTGTTACTACGTTATTGGGTAGGTTTTACATGAAGAAAAAATTATATATATATACATATAAAAATATATATATATATAATAGACACATTATTTAATTTGTAAAGTGCCATTGCAGTTTGACTAATTGATTCATAGTGAAGTTGGTGCTATGCCATCACAACATTCCTCCAAAGTTGTACAATATTAGTTTTACTTTACAAAACATAGAAAAACATTGATCGCTTGTATATTACGGACATTCTTTAAAAACACGACATACATATTGCGAAAAAAAAAATTTTATGAGTCGTGTGTATGTATACAGGAAATTTGTATCTTTGTATGTTGAATAGAGTCAACGTTTAGTTGACCGATATTGTAATATAAATCGTTTATTAATTATTATTGCATATACATTGCACTGTATCTGTACATAAGTAGAGATCCATGTTATTTTGAATCACCAGATGAATTATGTAAAGTAACAGTATCTAATTTAGAATTATATACAATTATAACTATTTCATTATATGATAATAAATCCGTACAAAATCTACTGATCTATTTCGTTTTTGTAAATACCTTTTTTTGTGAATTTCGATTTATTAGTATTTAATAGGTAAATTGTATTCATTATTCAATTTCGAATCTTTTATCGTGATAAATATCAACTTTAAATTCTCAAATTATTTATGCTTTTAAATTCAGCAAAAATTTCAAAGAAAAAATATTCTTCCATTGTCAAATAATTTTTTTTGTATAATTTATACATAAATTACAAATTTATGTATACAAATAATGTATATATTATATTTTTATTAAAACTATAAAGATTTCAAAATACTTAACATTATAATATAATGCAATCATATAATGTAAAATAGATAAATTTATTCTTTACATTACATATATTCATATATGTATCTATAAATCAAATTTTTAAGATACAATTTTGTACTGTAATATTTCTGATATCAACTTTAATGTTTTATTTATCACGTAACAAAAGAAATATTTAAGAAATTGTACATTGCATTTAGTTTGTTTAATTTGTAACAGAAAGAGGTATAAGGAGAATATAATTTAAGGTGAAAAAAAGAACACAAAACGAGAACAGATCATGTTTACAATTTTATTTTCATAATTGTAAAATAATATTTACAAAGCAATATATATTTCATGTACACAAAGTACATAGTCGTTTTTCAAGTTTCGATTAGTGTATAAGAAAGAAATACAACAAAATTATATGTACAATGAGTATTTATAACTGTAAGAATGTATCACGATTACAGAACAAATATGTCTGATGAAATCTTTGATGAACACTTATTACTTATGTAATCAAATAAGAAAAAAGGAAGCAAAAAAGAGATGAAAAGAAAAGTAAAAAACTGGCAAAAATTTCAATAAGCTTTTTGTATTTATAAATGAAATACGCAAGCATTTGTATAAATGATTTTGAAATAAATCAGATGGAAAAAGAGCAATATGATAAACGCAGTATGCAAAAATATGCAATAATATACAAAAAAGCGAATAAAGATGTAATTGATGAAAATATATAAGAACGTAAATGCGAAAAAAAAATACATTGTAAGAAAAATGTATTTTTTAAATGCGATTCTTTGGCATTTATGCACGATACAATTATAAGGCGGTCTAAACGTTACAATACACAGTGTGATCTATGTACAATTTAAAAAACTATCATCTTAAGCGTAAAAGTAAGTATGAAGACAAGGTATGACGCTTACAAAAAATTTGTGTATACTTTTATCGACGATTCAAATAGCAATATTGCGTTTGTAAAATTTGATATATATAAAAACCGGCTTCCCGCAGATTTTGTAAATTCATACTCAATTGGTATATACTGCGCGGTTAAACATATATTCTTATTGTATATTGTATATTCTTTCTGATGCGATGATTCATCTAGCGAGGATTTTTTAAATATTTTATGTAACAAAAAAAGAAATAATGAGAAAAAAAAGAAAAAGCTTTAATACGTTGAGCGATATTTTTTGTTTTTAATATATAATACAATTATAATGGCGATCTATGCAACTTGTCCTCATGTATTAAATTTTATAGCTAATAGTGTATTTATGTAAAAATATTTTATTCAATAATTCCTCAACGTAATGCTTAAGTTTCCTTAATAGATATAACAAATGATTTTTAAGAATAGTTTATCATTAGATACTTTTTCCATATCTTTTCTTTTCAAATTTTAATCTTTTTCAGAGATCAATTAGAAAATCTTCGTTAGGTAAGACTTAATCGGTGACATTAGTACCAGTTTGTAATTAAATCTTGAGGCATGTCTTAATTTTAAAAATTAAGTTGTAATAAACTTGTTTGCTGATAATCTGACAATATGACTTTGTTCTTTAAAGAACTTAATTCAAATTAAATATTTTATTCAACTTAATTAAAATAAAAGTTTTCTATTAAAATTTTAATCTTTAATAAGTTCTTTAAAATTAAATCTTTAATAATAATGGAAAATAATATTGCAAAATTTTTTAACATTCTTACAACATTTTTCGATATTATATTAATTCACATCTGATATCTTAACAATTCTTTTAGTGTTTTTTCTCTTAGTAAAAGAAAATATTTATTAAGGTAATAGATAGGAACAAGTATGTTCTATCTTTGATAAGTTTTTATTTAAAAAAAAGAATAAATACGTTACTTCTGTGCATGTTGAAACAGTTTTGATGATGGTCTGCTTTCTTCATTCATGATGATACTGGCTCAATCCTGTTGCATGCAATAAATTAATAAAATCATTAAATGAATATCAATTAATATATACAATAAAAGTAAAATTCAAGCAAATATATTTAAATTAATGATAAGAGTGAAGAAAAAATAATTATTATTAAGAATTCATTTTTGCACATAAATATCTACAACTAATCTAAAATCTGCACTTAATATAATCTATAAAGATTCATTTTTAGATTTGTTTTACAAAATTTAATTAAAATCATCTATTATAATTAGTTTTTGTTAAATTAATAAAAAAATCATAATACATAAAGTTCTTATTTTATTATTAATTATTGGCAGAAATTTTTAAATTCAGAATGTTTTCTTAAAAAATTTTGACATTAATTCATTTTTTTTATCTTAATATACTTAATATTAAATTTTGAATTATTGAAAATATCACATATATAGAAATATTATTTTAAATATTATTTTTAATAAAATTATTTTATCAATATATATTTTATAATGTTCACATTAAGAAATTTATTGATATGCTTAATGATATAATTTTAAATACATAAAAAAAAATCAAAGAAAACAAAGTAAAAACTAATTGTATAGGATTTATAGATCATACAATGACTATTATTGAGAACAATATTATTAATTTTATTTTGTATAATATTGTTCATAATAATGCCATAATTATGATAATATTAATAATACATGCAGTTATTTTTTTACAAATGTTATAAAAAATATAATATAAACGTAATATAATATCAATTTTTAAAAATACAATTAATATTGTGTATATTGGAAATACTACAACATGCATATAATAAAAATAGGAATTGTACAATATTAATAAGATGCATTCTAAAATGTGAGTACATATATTATATTAATGAAGTACCTGCTAGTAAATTCAGGGATTTATATATAAAATTTGCAAACATAATTTGGAGACTGTTATATAATTTGAAGACTGTTTATCTTTATTGCCATTAGCTTTATATAGTTTATAATAATTATTATATTATCCACATATAATACAGTTTTATTTACAAGGGATCTAGTGTACACTATGATTAGATGTAGTGAACAACTTTTTGAGAACAATATAAATGAATGATGTTTAATAAATAGTAAACGGATAATCAAAGCGACTATCTACAATCAAAATACAAAAGTAACGAAATAGAGTTTACTCATTTATACTTAAGAATTAATGTATTCATAAATACTGAGCAGCAATATGTTTTACAGGAACCATATCTAAAAATGCTAATTCGACTAGTCAATGAACAGATTTATTTTGATATCCTCTAAAAAAAATTTTACTGGAATGTTTGCAATTTATAATACAAATATTATACTAAAATGCTAAACTTCGTTCAATATCATAATTCAAAATCATATATTTTGATTTTTTTTTTCCTAATTGAAAAATATGAAATTAATAGATTCTAATACTGCTTTTCCAAGTGTATAGAATATCGCTTGATTAAATTCAGACTATTAGCATAAAATAATTACGTAACACTTGTATGTGCTTTTTAATCGATAACGAAGTTTTCCCTTATATTATTATATTTAATAATTATTATTACAACATATTTACAACGTATAAACAGTTCAAAACAATTTTAATTCTTCAAATATATTGGTATACCAAAAGTCAAAGATTTGCTAACATAATATACAAATTTTTATTTTGTATATTTTAATAAAAATTTATTTCTTAAAAAATAATTACGTTCAAAAAAACATCCAATCTGTTACGTAATACATTCTATGCGAGAACAATAGTATACATATATATGCATATAATATATACATACATATATATATACGTTACTGGATAGTTTGCACTTAAAAAGGCTAGAATAATTTCGATAATTTGCTACTTGTTATGCATCTAAACGTAAAGTCGGAATAGATTAGAATAAGATCAGGCCCTACGTTCTTTATCTGCATTATTTTCAATTAATATCGAGAAATGAAAAATTCGATTTCTCTCATGATTTTTTTTTCTTTTTTTTTTTTTTTTTTTTTTTTATTTTGTATCATCGTTGTTAACTATTGGAATGACGTAGTTTCTTTCATATCAGCCAATTTACTAAAATTCGTCAAAAACAACAATGCAATCACAGAAAAAATATATCAATCCGCACAAATCAATCGTACAAAACACATAGAAAAATTTGGATATGCGGATGAAATGGAATAATACGGAGACACGAATTATTCGTGATAAATATAATAAAATATAAAAATATATCATATATTTAGTGTAAAATGGCTGATACACAATTTTATCATAACTAAACATAAGTTTTTGAGTTGAAATTGCGCGTCTAATTATTCTTTTTATCCAGTCTTAAATTTTATAATACATTATCATATTTTACTCTCTTCCAACGTATAATCATCTTCGTTATAACCAACAAAGTGAAAACTGATATGGCAAAAAAGCGCCATTTTTATAATTTTTCTTTAATTTTTATTTATTTTTATTTTTTTTTTGTTCTCAATTTATTTCAATTAGAAAATAAATATATCTATTCAAACTTTAAATAAATAATCAACAATATGCAAAATATCTTAGAATTTCGCGAAATATCAATTTTTTTTAATATTCTAATATATTATTGATATTAATAATCTATAAAAATTCTGTTTTCACATATTTTTTTGTCTAATAATAAGAAGATCGATACGATAAATAAAAAACATGGAAGTGATTGATCATGGAAATATATCGATAACAGTCTGTTATTACATTCTATTCTAGAGTAAGCACCACACAAAATTAAAAAAAAAAAAAA